TGACTCTTAGGTTCAAAGCACATGTCTATTTTACTCCAACAATGTTAGAGGTTTTACACGGCGAAAAACTTTTGACAGGCGCCGCGTAACCTCTAACTGCCCATAGCTGATTTTCCCGATGCTGACGATCACATTTTCAAAGTTCGGATTAAGAAAGAGTATATCGTGTTTACATACATTTAAATGGTCAAAAGGGTTCAATAAATATTCCTTTCCATAAATCCATGATTATATGAGAAAAATTTCGTTTCAAAGACATAAATAATGAGTTTTTCCTCATTCGAAGCGAAGCAGACAGCATTTGCCATGATTATTCCGGTTACCAGTTAATACAAAAATGGATTACATGTAATGTTCACAAGTGGAATACAAACAAACTCCATATCATTTCGTTCCGTTTGAAATCCCCCCTGCTATTTTGTATTAATCCAGAAGCAATGTTTTAAATGTAGGTCAGAGATGTGCTACAACGACATGGACATGTATTTTGAGTGTTCTATTCCGTAATATACTATATATTTGTGTCTGTGACATACATATGAGATCTATATTATATATTCCGTGAGTAGACATCGTTGTCATGAACTGTTAACCACTTAAGTGAGTTATTCAAGCCGATTTTGTTCCGCCCGGATTTCGGGCGGAAACTGCATCAAAGAATTAGTGCTTCGGAAATGAGAGGTCGCAGTCGGCAAAACCATATCCGATTGAAAAAAGGCCGACCAGCAGCCTCTCATGTTATGGGAGTAATGTCTATTTAACATATATATAATTCATGTTTAATTTTGTCCCTTCAAGTTTCAAGGAAATGGTGATTTGACACTTGACCTTTAAATGTCAAGGGTCAACAACGTTAACTAAAAGCCTTGTTTACCTAACAATCAAAGATAGAATATAATTCATGTACATTTGTAACGAATTTTAAGTAAACAACATAACCCTTGAGAAACCGTATACTGAAAAATATAAATAACAATTGTAAAGTTTGAATTTCTATTGTAGAAATATATAGGACCTAATATATATATGTAGATATCTAACTAGAGAATCAGATGTACTGGTATATATCTAGGGGGGCTTTAAGCTTTAGTGAAAACGACCCAATTTTACGACAGCCAAAAACGCAATCCTGAAGTTCAAATTTAAGACAAGCACTAATACAGTACTGTTAGACAAAATACCTGTTCCAATATGTTTTGACTATTCAAAATTCAAGGAAAACTTTATCTGACCTCTGAAATTGCTAAGTGGCATGGGTTAACTTATCATGAAAGCCCTGAAACTACATATATCTAACGTCATAACTCTATTAAATTACTTCTGCCAATCAAAATGTATATTATTTAAATTTGTGCCTGTGATCATGATAGGCCATAAACATTTGGTCACCAATTAATTTTACACTATGTTTCATGTATTTTCAGTGTTAGAACTAATTAATGGAGGACCCATAGAACTATTAATGGATCTACAGATCCCATAGACAATCACCATGAAAATCAATGTACATTTTTTGTATGTCTATGGGAATGATTTACATCACAGACCAAGTTGTCTACGAGTCTGACATAATTATTTCCTATATAATGTGTTTCATTCACTGATTTGTAATAAAGGGATATATATTGTTCTGTAAAGTTACTTTTCTTCCTAATATCATAACATTTCATGATATCAAGCTTTACCTCTATATAGCTACTGTTTTAGATAAGAAGTCTGTATTACATACAGAGCCATTGTCTATTGTGTGCACGTTCTAAATTCTCAAACTATTCGTACCTTTTTCATGGACTGTTCATCAATTCATTATGATTTCTTATTCAATTTGTCTACAGATGTGTGGGGTAATCACTGGGAACCCATGTACGGGTGTGTTAACACTGGGCCTCGTCATTAGGTGGAGGAGGTTTAGGGGATTGCATTGGGGGTCAGTTACGTGCATAATGCGGATTATGTGTTAAGGGTATATAATAGAATTTATAAATAAAATTATTTACATATGTGCCTAATCTCCCAGTGTGTACTAGAACTGTATCCAATGTGTACGGTATCTGTATTCACCAGAATAGCCTTAAGTAAATGAAAATGCACTTTATTCAGGTATTGTACTGTTTAAGCCTAAGGTAAAGCAAGGAGAACTATATCTATTGAGTGTTAAGGAGACTATCATATTATGCAAGAATTTGAAATGTATAATAGAATTTATAATATACAATGTATCCCTAAAATCTCTGTATAATCTTCACGTTTAACAGGTGTATTGTACATCTACATCCAGCCAGAATAGCCTCCGAACAAAATCAACATGGAAACGCTCTTTCAGCTGAATTAAGCAATTACGTCTAGTCCACCTGTAAAATTTGATATCATGCTTGATACAATGGTCTTCTATAAGTGTAATGTACATTTGAAGCTAATTATAAGACACTTCCAGCCATTATACAGGTCTGAAGTTATTTTATTACTTGTAAGTATATTTATGAAATTCAAATTTAACTGTGATCACAGCTGCCTTCCCAGGGGTCTAGGTATTTCTGTACTCAGCCATTCCTGTATCAAGTTGTTTCTTCAGTACTTGTATATATTAGAAGAATATATGTATAAACATCTGGTATTCAGTCTTTTTCAACTTTACAAAAAATTGCTATATATCCTATTTTTCCACGTATCAGGGCTCACCCTGGACCTAAAAAAATCATTAGCCAAAAAAGTAGCCATGTTTGAATTTCAGTAGCCAAATTTTTTTAAACAGTGGTCATACTTTCTCGGCCCCAAACCGTGACGGATAGGCCCTCCATTAAAATCATTAAATATTTAATATTTTTTTAAGTGCAATACTATTCAATATGATGTTAAATTAAGGAGTATTCTGTTAAATTAAAAAAAATGTTATACATGATGTTTATAATTTAATCCATAATGTGATATTTTTGAATCCTTTCAGATTACATGGCTGTAATTTTAAGAAAATATATCTTAAATTAAAATGCTGAAAATTTCCACCAGAACTTTTTTTATTTATTTTTTCAAAAGAGAGAAAAATCAGCCTTTATTTCATTTTCTTGACACCGGAATTGTGAAAAAATTTAGCTTGAAAAGTTCAAATAAGATATTATTCGCCTTTAAGGTCATTGGAGTGTATTGATAAACGGAAACAGGAAGTACATCCCTAGTTGAATAACCAATGTAGGGAGACAGCATCACAATTTCCGCAAATTCTAATGTTTAATATTAAACTGATGAATATTGTATGTTTATTATTGACAGAACAGTGTGTTCTCTCAGTATTGAAGTATTACAAAGTAATCCAGGCCTTAACTCAGCAGGGGTTTTTTTTATCAATGAGTCACATGTGTCCATTTTTCTGTACTTCAGGAAACCGGCTACCTATTTCACTACTGTGAAGTTTTTCAAGAACGATAACTCTTACCTGCAATTACTATGTGTATATGGTTTTATTATAAAATGTCAATTTTTATATCGTGTATAGAGAATTAATTTTATACAATTTCAGCATTTATTAAATTGATATACATTTATGCAATACTAATATATGTCAGTATCATTTTTATTGACATTATTTTGTAAAAATATTGTGTCTTTCATTTTTTTTTCAAAATTCACTCCTTTTTACATAAATTTCCATTTGAAATCCTTAACATTCTGACGACCTATATTTTTTTTGTGGCAGAAAATTTTCTTTACTTTAAAGCAATATAACTACAAAATTTGAAGAAATTCTACTGAGAAATGGTGACACAATCCTATTACCTTAATTCTGTGCCTTCAATCAAAAAATAAAACTAATAAAATCCAAATCAAAATTAGCCTCAGTGATGCAATATTGATATACGGTATTAATGAATCAAATCTACTGGGTACTATACATATTTCAGCGACTAGAATTTGCCTCTAACTCTAAAGACTCAATATAATCTACAGCTCTGCAGATTGAGCTAAAGGGATTGATGTTCCCTTTTGTGAAGTCAATAACAAGCAACTAGAGAGTTCACTATGTATAAACCACCAACACTGACAACCGTGATTATTTGGGCTATGTTTCATTTGGTCAAATCCAAATAAACTTTGGTGATTAAGAATCATTATTATCTTCTTTTTTTTTAACTTATTAAGATCACATACGTTGGAAGTGACCTTTCTCTGACCTTATATATATATAAACGGTATATACCTAACATGTATGCAAAGCAAAGCATGCAATGCAATTTGACTAATTTTTCAAGAGGTTTGATTTTAGATCATTTATCTCGTAAATGTCATATTTAACACACAAAAAAATCTTATTCTCCACTTTTGGCTTTCAAAAAATTCAGATAGGCATGTAGAAATAATAATTCTTTACAAAATATAAATACATCATGTATATAAATTTTCTTTTCAAACTCCTACAAAGCTTGTTTCAAATTAGCTCCTAAAACATCAAGGAAGTTAGAAATTAAAGTGTAGGGTTGGTAGTGACTTAGTCAAGAGAGAGATAAAAACTAAAAAATAATGTTTGAATTTTGCCTCGATGAAGATTTTGTATAACTTTTGCAATTCTAATCTAAATGTTCGTCTAATGGACATGTCTAGTATTTTCAAAACATTAATCTCTAAATATTTTAATTGGAATCTTTCAAAGTATACTTCCTCCATGAAAGGAAACCATAAATAAGATTTTGTATTCTGTAAGGACATTTCTAATGCAGACCATCAGGGTACATTTTCCACTCATTTTTAGTTGTGTATTGAAAGCCATAATGATTGTAGAAGGCTTTACACAAGTAGTAAACTATTCTTTGTATAGGAAGGACAAATATCATCAATTACATAATAACCACATTATGACGACACAAAAGCGTACATATTCAAGACGGCACCCGACCTACTTCCAAAATATTGAATACACAGGGTCTGTGTATTGGAATTTCGGTCAGTCAGTCTGGTATTCAAAAACTTTACTATAAGAACAGTTTAACAATCTCTTCGTTATACAATACCTGGTAAACTTTTTTCGATGTGGAAATCGTCGGAGAAGAACCATTCACAATTAGCTAACGATGAACTGGCATCGAATCCTCCCCTGCAGTTTATCCATAGACCACAATGGCAATCCTTAGACGAGCACCCACAGAGAGAGTCTCCAAGATTTTGAAAATGTAACCAGTTTGGGAGTGAAAACGACACAATTGTAGCTACTGTCGTGATCAACACACATACTATAGCCGTTATAACTATACAGTTAGGCATCTTGTTCGCTTTAAATCCTCCCTGAATACCAATAAGTCGCACTTCTTTCCAAATTGTTTTCTTTCTTTTTTTTACGGAGGTACTAGTTTGACAACTTCCGGTTTTGGTAGTTGCGTATATAATTATCGGACGAGAAAAATCCAAATAGAAACGGAACGAACTAGTCTTCGCTAATACGCGAAGCTTATCCTTACCTGTATATATGCCTTTTTATTTACAATTAAAACAGAATATCGGTTTATTAAATAAACAGGATTGTGTTAAAAGCCTAAGAATCACAAGCAATATTATCGTATATGTGTATTTTGGACTTCGATCAAATTTTCCTTTCGGTTCGAGGTTCCTCCATCACGATAAAATAAATAGACGGTCACGCCCACTTAGCTTTGACGGTAAAGCCCGGGGCAATATGTCTTATGTTCTATTAGGCTGAGTGTATTTACTTGTACAATACGTGTGTATATAAACAAAGGGTCTGATAAACATAACACTACAACCGGAGAACATTATACAGGAGCAGTAAGAAAATATTCTGTTCACGATAAAAATAAGTCCAACGGTCTTTATTTATATAATAATGTAAGCAGACGCTTTCAAATAGTTGTTGTTTTCAGGAAATAATGACATTAATAAATATGTAATTATAAATTTTCCTTAATTTATACCTAAAAAAACAACATGTTTACCAGGTTTCACTCCCATCACCGATTTTACCATAATTAGACCTTAAACTATTAATTTTTTAATCAGAGATGTATATATTAATATATACGTCTTTGATTTCATATAAAAGGTTCACATATTTAGTAAAATATTGTAAACTTCTTACACGAAAGCAACTTTATCATATTAGTGAGTATTTCAAATCAAATGGCTACTTCAGAGACTCGAAAGGTTCGATCTACTTTCATTTCCAATTTTCGATGGAATCTCTCGATTTTTTACTTCCTTTTTGCTGTTGAAATCAGCGAAAGTTCTTAAGTCTCGCTCAGATTCAATCACATTGTAATCTACAATGTATTAAGATGTTTTTTAATCATGTTTTTACTGTCAAATAGGAAAAGTAATTTTAAGTTTTTTTTATAATCTTCTATGCAGTTATTCCCTGATGAACATTTTTGTGGGTTGGAAATTATTCTTTCAGTATAATTTGCATTCCGGGATGATATCGATGTATCGATCAGTATATCAGCTCAGAGACGTATATTACAATATATACGTCTCTGGTCAGATACGTATATCTTTTTTTTGTGTGTGTTTCTTTCCAAAACCAAACCCGGCCACAACCAGTATCCCAGCCCTACATTGTATGCAAATATGACCTATTGAATGGTCCGTTCAACAATACATTCTAAACTTCCTTATACCTGTGACAGGTAAGACATAAGTAATACCACACCTGATGATGGACGTCACGAGCCGCTATCAAATACACCTGTGCCTAGCTAATCAACTCGCCACCACAGGGACCTGGGAATTTGTTACAGTTTAGATTCAGTGTATGTTTGGACCTAAACTGATGTGTTTAGGGTATACGTAATATTAGATGTTTTAGGGGTTAAATCAATTTCTGTAAAAACACCACCCCGATAATAGTACAAAAGAAATATTTCATCAAAAGCTGCTTTATATCGGTACAAACAACGTCTAGTATGACACTGAACACATCAGTTTATAAGTCCGAACATAGATAAACTGTAACAAATTCTCAGATCCCTGTGCTCGCCACTATACTCCAGGGCAAACGGTCTGTTTATTACTCCGGCTCTAATTACCACTCACCTTTATCACACCTGTACAGGTGAGACATTCATTTGTTTTTGAATACTGTAAGATATTTATACTATTTCACCTGAACACGCTCACAGGTATATATTAATTATGGGAACTATACATACCCAAAGATCGTAGTGTCCGAGTTGCGTCCCTTTACCCTGTCTTTGAACCTATATATATCATTATTGGGATGGCATTTTTACCGAAAGTTGATCTTAACCCATAAAACGTGTAAAATTTCTCTGAGCACATACTTTTAGATCCATATATACAATATAGCTGTAATAAAATCTCAGGTTCCTGTGGTTTAGACAACCGTATTGGGCGCTCAAATCTGCGATCACAAAGCCGACCACATTTATAAAATAATATTTAATTATACACTGTACCGTCGGTCCGCTTCAAAACGGGAAAATATTGCAACGATAAAATGTTGGAAAAAACCCATTGAAATTCAGTTTTTACACTGATCTGTTACCAGTAAAAGTTCTTAGACGTTGATTAACCAGAGAGTTTAGTTAAAGCTGATCCGTAAAGAAAATTTCCCATTCTGATGCTTTTCTAACTTTTCTTCAATTAGAGTCTATAGTAAATAACATTGCACCAACAGTCAACTATATTTTAAATTCCGTCAAAATACGCTACATCAGACACTTCATAGACTTCATAGACTTTATAATTAGTAGCATCTAGTGTTTGGGGAACCAGATACACGGCCAGACCGGGGTTCGAACCCGGGACCCACCGAACTCTAGACGGACACTCTACCAATTGAGCTATCTGGTCGCCAACGATCGACCCAGTCAGTTCCGCTACAGATCTAACCAAGTTCCGTGGTTAAAGATGATTTTTTTCACTTAATGTAAAAAAAAATGTTGGTGCCAATATTTGATTTATAAATATTATGTGATATTTTCGAAAATCAGGGGTATTTTTTTTAAAAATCTGGCTCTGCTGAGGGTCGAACCTAAACATCAAACAACATGACAGTGATTTCCAACAGGTTTCATTTTTCGTCAGATTTCAATATCAAGTAGTTTAGGCCTCTCGCAGAGTTTCAGAGGTTGAGATTGTCACAAGCCTGTATGTCATCAAAAGTGAGAAAAAATAAATGCAAACAGATTCCTTAAGAAATTATTTTTATTGAATCTTTAGAATATATCGTCAATCCCATAATTCTCGGGAATACATATTTTCGACTTTTGTTGTAGATTTAGGCTAAATATCCCCATACCTTTTCACATTGACTACACATTTCTATAGAAGGTTTGCAAGTTACTCGCTAAAACAAGAAAACTTCTTGTCTTCCGTGATTAATAGAATCTCAATTTTGTTCCCGTTTCATCAGACATTAACGAAACTAGACCGAACACTGCAAGAAAATTCTCCTAAAACGTAATGTTCTAGTGTTTAATGGCTCTACATTTAACGAGCTCATATTTTTACCTTTTTTACGTGACGTCAAATGATAGTTGATTAAAGTTAAAATTAGACAATAGAATATTAAGTGTTAGAAACTCAAGTGTACTAGACAATGAAGAGAGTACGTATACCCCTTATATTGCCCGTATACTTAACTGTGTTCAAGGGAGTTTCTGAAATATTTTCCAGCAAATAATACAGAAGTAATTAGACTCTCGAATTCATTCTCATTTGGATCATTTAACAAGAAACTGATAATGTCTCCTCTAGCAAGGAAACACAACATTTAACTCCTGTCACGTGACGTATCTTGTCCAATCGCGGGCAAGGATTACGGAACATTTAAAGATTCCGTCGGAACTTGTAATTAATTAGTATGTACAAGTGAGATAAGACTGAACAAAGATTAAACTAACCAAGAAACAGCGAAATAGTCAAAGGAACATTCTCGTGTTTATCCGTATTCCAATCATCCGAAATACAATGTTTTCTTGAAAGTTATTAATCCGAAAATTCGTTAAAATGAAATTTTAAAAACAGATAAAGTTTCTGGACAAACGAACTTTCACGGTATAAGATATCATATAAAACACGGAACATTATAAGTGACGCCTATACAACTCTAGTCAGTTTTGTACCACTTCCTGTAAAGGTATGACATATCTCGAATCACTTCCGGTCAGAATTAATCGATTCTTGGACAATATTAAACATAAATATGAAAGCTTTATAACGTTTCTTGTCACATGTTAATGTTTATCCATTACTTCCGGTAAAGACAGTTCTATGAGATCACTTCCGGTAAGAACGGGATTGGTGTGTTGGGAAGGTGTGAGCATGCATAGGTCGTTCATATTTTTCGTATGTTTCTGAACCGGTGTCGTCATCCAAAGATTCCTCCTGTGCCGGATGTGAAGCGCCATCTGGTAGTTCCGGGAGCGACCCTGCTAGGTTAATCCTTTCGTCAGTTGTACAAAGGTCGAATGGCTTCGATATGAATTTGGATTTCTCCTCCTCCCTTTCGACTGTTTTGCTTCTGTCAATAGTAAGGAGTTGGACGTATTGCTTTGCACTAAAAGACGAAAAACAACATGAAATGTGTTTTATAAGACCAGGAAGTTGTTCCTACGAGCGAGGAGGACCGCATGTCATGACTAATTTATTGTTGCGCTGAAAGACCGGGGGCCGTATTCACGAAACCGTTCTCATGCTCAAGCGTGGAGTTTGTGCTCAATCCTAATTTCTTGTTCCGGTTATAAATTAATGATAAAGTCTTTATTTTGTCAATGATAAGACTTCAAGCCGAAAACTATTTTCAATGTTTACATTTGACTTTTAGATTTGTTTGACATGATTCAAGTGAGTTGCAAGAAAGTTGGTTTGAGCACATTAATGCTTGAGTATGATAACTGTGTCATGGACATGGGCCCAGATAAAGTCAATCCCCGATACTCCACGGTGGCGTTAACTTTTACTCTCTAGTAAAAGTGATCGTAACCCCTGGAGTATCGAGGATGGATGTAGCCTTAAGCTAAAATATGTATGCGCTAATGTAAGATCATTTAAAGTAAGTTCAAAATCGTTATCATTTCTTAAACTTTTCCATAAACACGTGGTGGCGGTGTTAATAAAAGTATAAAATGAATCAGATTTTTATACAAGACCTGAAGGTAATGCCGTGTTAGCGGCTGATACTGGGTTTTGAGCAGCTTCAATACTTTGAGTTTCAATTGTTCGATATGTTTTAATCAATACTTACAATTGATCTGTAGTCGCTGACATCTTTTCTAGTGCTTTGAGAGTCTCTGTAAAATTGAAATCATGTGTATTTTACATAACCTCAATAAGAAGAAAAAAACCTGGCACGTTCATAGATAATCATAGCTGTTTTTAGGACAAACCAAACCAGAGAAATAATACTACATCCCTATATATTTTTGAATCCATGAATTTGATGATTTGTTTTTGTGTGCTTGAGAAATATTCAAGGACCAATAAAAAAAACCTGTCTTAAATTCGCGTGTACAAATATACCTAATAGACCGTCAACACTTGCCCTTTCTCGAACTATTCTTAGCTAACATGTATGTACTATTTACCCTTAACTTAAGCAATGTTTTTTATTTGCCATGTTAAAAAAAAATGTTGTTCGTGAAACGGAAGCCACGTGGCACTTCCTCTTATGTATTTTCCAGCATGAAACATTTATTATTACTGAAATACAATGACAATATATAAATACAGTCTTCTTTATATACATCTCTGGATGTCAAGTCGAGCCCCGAGCACTATGTTTTTACAATAAGCGATACTTCAAGTATCAATAAAATAATGTCTATCATGTTTTATCCATAATTTGAGTAAAAACTCAAGATTAATTTAAGAATAAAATTTATTTTTAAAAAAAAGGTACATAAAAAGAATATCTGGTTCCGATTACAGGCAGCTTGTCTTAATGTCTGTGCAGACTAAACGTCATCTCGAAACAAAATCGTAGAATTAAGAACTCTGATCAAATTAGTGGCGAGTGGAATTATTTTCTTAAATTGATGATGAATATGTTGTTGTTGAGGAGGAGGAGGAGGAGGAGGAGGAGGAGGGAAGGAGGAGGGAGAGGAGGGAAGGAGGANCGGATATTTCGTCCTCTGTTTCGCATATTAGAAACACATGAAAACTTTCCGGCAGACAAATGAACAAGCAACCTCATGAAGCATGTTATTCATATTTTCTGTTACTGGCGAATGCTTTAGGGTAATTATATAAAATTGTATAAAAGACAAAAAGCAGGAGGGTGGTTTGGTGTCTTTGAGTTTAAAGAATTTATACGTTGGTCATTTAGTAGCGCCAACCTCTTCAGAAGACCCACAATTAATTCTAAACTTTATGATTCACATTTAAACGGTATGACTTGAACACAGAAGCAAAATCATGATCGGAGCTCAACAGTCCACAACCATCTACATTACTGGGTAGGAAAAGTCAGCACGAGGAGGAGGAGGAGGAGGAGGAGGAGGGGAGGAGGTGGAGGAGGAGGGAGAGGAGGGAGGGGAGGAGGAGGAGGAGGAGGAGGAGGACTGACCTGTTCGTTGTCTCCGTCGTCGTCGTATTCTGACAAAACCAGCCGAACAACATATCACGATGACGGTCGACAAGAGACTGCCGAGAACTCCCAGGATGAGAACAGTTCGACCTTCGCCGGTCTCTGTGGAAATAAAAAGGAAATATCGCCATGTCCATCACAACCACCTTCGTCGTGGTCATTCGTTACAAGTTAAAACTTAACGAACGAATATGAAATGCATTTCTTTTTTAAAATTCGAAAAGATATATCAGAATGTTTCTGCCTTTACATGTGTATCACTGACTCCTTTGTACCAACACATATTTGCTTTATTGATTATCACTCATATTCACCAGTTAACTAAACGATCCAAGGTACATGTACATAATTATAATATGTAAAATAAGTTTTATGTTACCTAGGTGAAAAAAACAAGGAGTTTGCATTGGCTCCGCATAAACATCGGCATCAGAAATGAACAAAGGGTCATAACTCTATGTATTGTTGGGTACTAAGATTGATTTCAGTAGGCGGCTATTTTCGGCCAAGAAATACCGTAAACAAATGGTAATAGTAGGTTCGACAGAATATGTGAGATGCCCTGGACAAAGTGATGTGCAGACGGATGGTGTGCAAGCTTATAGAACGTCCGGAGAGTTCAGATGGTTGGCTATTAGTGATCTACTTAACATTGTCATATGTTAACATACCTGCCACGTGAACGTCAAGACTTTTTCGCACAACCGGAAATAATCCTCCCTGTCCAGTACACGTGTACTTCCCTGTGTCTTCCGGTGTGACGTCATGTACCTCAAGATGACCTTTGTCGGATCCTTCGTGGAGATGGAAGATATATCGTTCAGGCTCAGCCAGGATAGGTCCACCATTTCTGTACCACGTAATGCTCGGGACCGGATATCCGGTTATATGACAGAAAATATGAAGTGTACTTCCGGGCAAAATACTAGATTGGCCTTCCACTGTGATAGTCGGCGCCACTGTAATCAGCGCAACATGTTTAGGGTTAAGGGGCGGCAATGTAGACAATAATATTTTTCGAATTCGTTAAATTTTGATTATAAACAGAAATGTACTTGTCTATCAGCAGACGTTTGACAACTCTGAATTAAATCAATAAATTTGAATTGAGGGAAGAGTTACTTCTACTATACCATGAACAAGTCAATTTGCAAAACAGGAAGAATAATAATAAGAAAAAGTATTGGTGGTTCTGAACTTACAAAATTGGTTTCAGATCACTGAAGTGAATACAGTTTGATATTTGGGTTCCGAATCATTAAATTATGTTGATTTTTACACTAGATAAAATAATTTGTAATCGAGTAACTTACCTACTACGTCCGCCGGTATAGATATCTGTCTTTGTTGAGAACTGCCAACTTCCACGAGAACGTTACATTCGTACCTCCCCGCATCAGAGAGTTCTACAAAAGACGGCGTGATTGACGGAATGGAATTACTGCTGTAATCAAACACACTCATTTCATAGTTATTACATGATGCATGATTTGTACTTCATGTTGTTCTCCAAAACATAGAATCAAAATTCACAATAATGAGCACACCAGACGTAGCCATGTTGAAGGGCCATTATAAGGCACATTTTTTTAGTTGAATGTTCAAACACGTAAGCTAAATGAACCTTGGGAATTCCATTTTTTCTTTCTTTAAAAACACATATTGCTATCTTAGGTCACTATCATGTATCAATCAAAAACTTTTCCCCATATTTCAATTTACGACTTTTTAACGAGGAGCGATTTTTATCCTCTTTTTGATTTTGAATAGCATGTAAAGTCACGTAATGGGAAGAAAAAATGTGAAAACCATAAACTAGGTGTCGTTGAAGGCTGTACCGCGTTTACGCCTGCAAGTAGGGGATGACATCAGGTGAAGTATTACAAACATAAATCATCTTCATGCGATAAACATAACAGAAAATCTACGAAATGTAAAAGTTTCGTGTTAAATCCCAAACTCATATTCCGCCAAAATCCCATCTTTTCCTGTTCAAGCTAACTTTAAATGATAAGAACCATCCACTATATTTCCCAAAATAAAACTTTCACCACCGATACAGCACTCGGTAAACAGAAATCTTAACCGTTCGGACGCCGCTTTTTTACAAAAGTTTTCACTCTCTTATCTGTGGGCATATACAACGTGAATACCTTGTATTTGATTGATAAACAAAAGGCGAAACCTGTTAGTTGTTCTTATCTTGTAATGTCATAACGACAACTTGTTTTAATCGATTTCAGCAAACTTTATTGAATTTATAAACATAATCAGACAGCAGACAAAGAAGAATATACATGTAGGTCTTTTCCCAAAAAACAATTCTATCTATCAAAATACAAACATTAAGTGAACTAATTATAGTTAAGCTAAACTTCAAGGGAGGTAATCTTTCTGACACTGGGAAATCATTCCCGTACAGAAAAGGGCAACCTACTTGAATTTGATATCGTCAGTCGTCTCGTTTCAGAATAATATTCGTATCTCCCAGTCAGATCTGACACTTTGTTCAGGGGCACGTGCTCCTTAGTCCAAAATACATCATTCTTGACGTCATCAATATGGCCGATATCAGAACAATCTAACGTGGTTGTCTCCCCTTCTATCAAAACGACACTTTTGAGTTTTTCTAGAAAGAGAACATTTTTAGGGGTAACATTTTTTTTACATTAATTCATTGATTAGATAATGGCACAGCTGTAATATGTGTCTTCGAATATTATGATCGTAAGATTTTCTTTTAGACGCGTTTTATCTCTCTCGCTGCGACCTTCACACATATTTTCGTAAATTTTAGCAGAAGCCTTTGAGTAATTGATAAGTTGGGTTATGAATTGATTATGAATAGATTACGAAGAAATTGATACACTTTTCATTTCAAGAAATAATGTTAAAAGTAAGAAATAATCATAGATTATGTTCTTTGATGGCATCATTTTGTTATATAATCTGTTATTTTGGGAAGAATGCTCTGAGTTTTAAGGAATTTTATAGTAACAGTGACCTTGACCTTTGACATTCGGACCTGAAAAGCAATCCCAAGCAAGCACGTTTGGTAAGGAAGCACTGTATGAAGTTTGAGTTTGATCTGCCCAAGGAAACTCAAGTTATCGCACGAAAACAGATTTTCTATTTATAGTAACAGTGACCTTGACCTTTGACCTTCGAACCTGAAAAATCAACCCAAGCAAGCACTTTTGGTAAGGAAGCACTGCATGAAGTTTGAGTTTAATCGGCCCAAGGAAACTCAAGTTATCGCACGAAAACCTCTGAGCGGACGCCGACATAGCAATACCTATGTGTCACCAGCTTTTCGCAGGCGACACAATGATAATAACATACTGAATATCTCGCCTTGGACCATCAGTTTACATTTTAGTATGTTTCTATGAACTTTCATCTGTGTGAAACATTTGATTACCTTAACCTTACAACAGTTGTAAAGTTTACACATTTTAAAAAGAAAACTAGTCGGAGATTTTCTTCGTTGGTTGATTTAAACATGTTTTTATTTGCATCTTATATACAAAGGGATTGGGCACAATTATCCAACTTATATAAAGCCTTTTCCAACTAGATTTTATATATATATATATTGAAATAAATTGTCGAGAGTAAGATAAACATGAATGTCAGCGGTCCTGAACTTTGGAACGTTTGTCTAGAATATTATTTCCTGACATTGTGAGTGTTCGAAACTGTTGTTTTGCGAACTATATTTCAGCTCTAAACCTAAACTCAGGTTTTGCATTTCGATTTAGTAAAAATCGTCTCGTGAATAGCTATGTATGTACATTCTGTTCATTTCAAAAATTGACATGAATCGTAAAATGAATCAGCTAAAATGCAAAATGTACGGCAATTTTGGTTTGTTTTTACCTGCTATGACCCGAACTGAAACAGTCTTCCTCAGGGTAGCCACCATACACGATATATCCACAGTGTCGGATCTGCTGGCTATTTTGGAAATATTCGCCCCGACAAAAAACGAATCCACCAGATTGTCGTATTTCAGGTTTGATGTAAATTCCGTCAAGTTTGATTGGCCGTTTATTTGCCAATTAATTTGATTTCGACCCGATCCTCGATACGAACACTGTATATTGATTGGCTGGCCTGCCGTGACCCACATTCTGTCTACTTCCGGTATAATATCCAGTTCCGCTGTAGAAAACAAAACAGAGATTATGGACATGTAGGATAATATAAACCAATTTTATTGCTATTTTAATCTCAAATGCATAGGTGTCAACCTGTGAAACCTCCAATGAGGGAGATCTCCCTCATTCCACATTTCCATTGAGGTAGAAAGTGCATGACATGCGACTGAAACGGCTTTGCTCAATTTATCTTTCTCTTTATATATATCAAAATAACTCCAAAAATCATTCATTGGATACAGCCACACCTGTTATTATCAGTACACACACCCTGCATTAACTAGGGATCATTTGACCACAGGATGTAGATTTTGAGTTTGTGAGAGTTTTAACATGTATGAGGGAGTTTTAAGGGAGATTGGCAAATTTTGTTCAAAATGAGGGAGGTTTGACAGCACTACAAATGTAATTATCAAACGCATGCCATTGCTTCTTTAGAAAATGAATAAATAACATACTAGGTTAAAACTATCTAACAGAACAACCATGACCTTATGATTCGTTCGGAACAAACAGGTGTCAGGATATTCATTATCTTTACCAATTATTTGAGTAATGTTAAGTTATCCAGCTCTAAATATTCCTACTCTCTAAAATGGAATGAAAACAAAACTTTAAAATCTATTACACATGACTGTTTTCCAATGAGAAAATGTTGGAGTATTCCGTCATATTGTAAGCGTAAAAGTAGTTGTGACGTCAATTCCAATTTTGACAAAAATTCCCAAACGGAAATGATTACCACAGAAAATAAAACCATGTTCAGGCAAAAACTGATTATGCAGTCAATTTGTAAAACATGTTTTTTAAAATTCATGAACATTTTTTTTTAGAATGCTCAATATTTTAAAGGATAAATACAAGGACTGAATTTCAAACCAAGCATTTTGCGTATCGTGGGAACAGCTTTGAACGGAATGCCAGACCTTCAAAAATGTCCAAAGATGTTTTTCAACCCTTAAAATCATGTACTTACCCGCATTGATCTCAACGCTTTGGTAGAGCTTCGAGTTTTCGTCCTTACAGATATAACTCCCCGAATCCTTAAACTTCATTCGGCTTTTTAGTAAGGTTTCTCGTGTCGTGACCCCATCATGATTATATGACGTGTCTATGACCTTCATGAATGTCGAATCAAGGTGGAGATCACGCTCGTTTTTCATCCATCGGAACATAGGAGGCTCGGGTCCGTCAAACGCACATGTGATTTGAAAACTTTCATCTGTGCGATAGTAGTTAACTTGCTTTAGGGGATAAATCATTTTCAGTGCTGGAAATAAAAAAAAATCTTGAATGTAAACAATTGGATGAAAGTTAGTTAAAGGGCTGAGTACATTTACCAGCTCTGAGATCAGAGACGTTTGCCTTGCAGGTAGGGCGTAAGAATTGTACCTGCTGCCCCATTGCATGATCGTAAGAGGCAATTAAATTTGGGATCTTATCGCCCCTGTGAGGAAGGCCTTGGATTCTGTTCCCTGGCCGAGACATACCAGAGTCTGTAAAAATGGTAGTTTCTACTCCTGCTTAACGCTCAGCAATTTAGAAGTGGGTCGACTGGTTCGCTCGTTGTATAATGTGACCGGGCGTGGTGTCCTGCTGGGTGTCCTGCTGGGTGTCCTCGGCAGTATGTTTCAGTGAGGTAGCACAATAAAGTCAGTATCTGTTCCGCGCTATCACAAGGAGACAAACAAAATATATCGCAGCCTCCCAAAACACACACGCATACACTACACGCATGCATCTCGCACACAGGGGAGGCCGTCCTTAAATGACCATAACTGTTGATAGGACGTTAAACAATACAAAACAAACCAAACCATAAGAGACGTTCACAACTACGTATCTGTTATAATACTTTAAAAATCAAGGCAGACGTTCTCATATAATATTTGAATGTTCGATTATTTAAAACAAAAATCGAGATTTTATCTAAGTATTTGGTTTCTTTTCCTAGTTATTGTCGAAATTGTCGGTCGGCAACCGCCATCCGCACAATCCCCATCACTACTACTTCTCCCTCAAGAGGAAAGAAAAACTCCTTTCAAAATCTGCCATTTTGAAACTACTAGTGAAATAGCGTATTATTTCATGTAAACGTGAGCGGGATTTAATACGTACTTGAAGGCATAGTACATCCAAACGCCTCGACCCGAAGTGATATCTTTTCGCTCCATGATACAGGATTGATTCGCAAGAATCGCGCGATGACGGGAACCGGAAGTTCGTGTTTATTCTTGGTGTCGTGGTCATGATTGCCTTCAAATATCTGGTTTCAGAAAAAAAGAAGCAGTAAGTATTGTTATAATCGGTACAGATATGGCGCATTTTAAAACATCGTTTCTTTAACGTCGTTAGAACCATATACTCAAAATGTTCCTATATATCTGATTGCGTTAAACTACTGTAGCGGAACTTGGTTGTTCCTAGGCGTGTCCTGTGTTCTATCCCAGCCTGGCCATATTTTCTCTTCCTCTAACTACAGTATAAATTATCAAAGGATTACAGAACGAGTTCCTAGACACTGTGTTCACGCCTTTTACATGTGAGATACAATGAAGACCAAGAGACAAACAAAGTCATTCAAAGGTTCTGTCTACCACTGACTGGGAAATCATTTAGGGTCATTCCAAAAACATTCTGGACTATTAATGATAAAATAACGTACTTTAGTTTCGCCTGTTTTGAGTTCTTTGTACTTGTCCCAGCGGCGGCCATCTTTGCTGAAAAGGACCTTGTATTGTGTGATCCACTGACGTTGGGTACAACAGTCCGTGGATGACCTCCCTTGCGTAACTATCTGTGTTACTATGGCAAGCTGTGGAAACGCTATCTGTATAGTAAAGAAACAAGTAACAAAATAAACTTCCCAAACAAGAGCACGACAAAGCTATTAACTTCCATTATCAACTATTAAAAATTTTGATTTTTTTTTTTTATTATTCGTCTATTTTGATGTCGTCAAACTGTACAAAAAGGCAAAACCAATCGAAAGAAGTGATACAGAATGGACAAAAAGCATTCGAAATATCAAGACTTATTACATTGACGGTGACAAAATTATACAAATCGCCTACCTGTATCCACTGCCGTTTATCGGTTATCGATGCCTGCCATGATCCTCCTAGAATCTTTCTTATTCCGGCCTGGGCCGCGGTTATGTCCCCTTCCCTGACTGTATCCAGTCTGCCTCTAGATGGCGCGTCAGAGTAGAGAGTATCTTCGTAATGAGATGAGGCGGTGATACTGACGTCAGGCAGCGATTTCACTAGTGCCACCTGACATGGTTCTGTAGAACAATATGAAACATTTACGTTAAAAATAACGATGATGGAAATGAGGAAGAAGGAGGAAAAGGAAGAGGGGCAGCAGTACAGCAGCAACATCAGCAGCAGGAAGAAGAAGGGGAACTGTTTAGCAGTAGAAACAGGTACAGTAGAAGCTGAAGAGGAAAAACGGGAACAGCAGAACTAGTAGGAGAAGCAGGTTAAAAAAGGAGTGAGATAAGGAGGAGGAGGAGGAGGAGGTACAGTAGTAGCTGAAGGGTAAAAACGGGAACAGCAGAACTAGAAGGAGAAGCAGGTTAAAACAGGAGTGAGAACAGGAAACGCAAGGCCATGAACAGGAGTACGGAACGAAAATCAAAAGGAGGAAGGAAGCAGCGGCGGCTGCAGTAGGTTAAGGAGCGGAGAGCACCTGGAAGCAGGAACAGGGACTCGGTAGATAAGGAGCGGAGAGCACTGGAAGTAGGCACAGGGGCTCGGTAGATAAGGAGCGGAGAGCACCTGGAAGCAGGAACAGGGGCTCTGTAGATAAGGAGCGGAGAGCACTGGAAGTAGGCACAGGGGCTCGGTAGATAAGGAGCGGAGAGCACTGGAAGCAGGCACAGGGGCTCTGTAGATAAGGAGCGGAGAGCACTGGAAGTAGGCACAGGGGCTCGGTAGATAAGGAGCGGAGAGCACTGGAAGCAGGCACAGGGGCTCTGTAGATAAGGAGCGGAGAGCACTGGAAGTAGGCACAGGGGCTCGGTAGATAAGGAGCGGAGAGCACTGGAAGCAGGCACAGGGGCTCTGTAGATAAGGAGCGGAGAGCACTGGAAGTAGGCACAGGGGCTCGGTAGATAAGGAGCGGAGAGCACTGGAAGCAGGCACAGGGGCTCGGTAGATAAGGAGCGGAGAGCACTGAAAGCAGGCACAGGGGCTCTGTAGATAAGGAGCGGAGAGCACTGGAAGTAGGCACAGGGGCTCGGTAGATAAGGAGCGGAGAGCACTGGAAGCAGGAACAGGTGCTCGGTAGATAAGGAGCAGAGAACACTGGGAGCAGGCACAGGGGCTCGGTAGATAAGGAGCGGAGAGCACTGGGAGCAGGCATAGGGGCTCCGAAATAACAGGAAAATGAACAGAAGCAAAAAAGACGGGACAGCAGTAAAAAAGCAGGGGAAGGAACAGGAGTACGGAAGGAAAATCAAAAGGGGGGAAGGAAGCAGTAGTATAGTGCAGTAACAGGATTAAAAAGGGGACACTGGAATCAGGAACAATGGCACCGAAATAACAGGAGAATGAACAGCAGCAAGAAAGGCGGGACAGCAGTAAAAAAGCAGGGGAAGGAACAGGAGATGCAAAATGAGAAACAAGTCGAGAAGGACTACAAGAAGCAGAACCATAAGAAGTAGTATGGAAATTGAAAACGTACCTTTAGAGATCAGGAACAGGAGGAGAAGTAGAAACAGTGAGAGGAGAGGTTCAAGAGCATGAACAGCATGGGCATGGTGGAGGGGTACTGTACAGTAAACTGTAGAAGAACCAGAAGTGTGAGAGCAGGAGATCAAAAACAGGAGCAGGATGGAGGAGAAAGTTGAGGTGTTTTCTTACCTTCAGACACCTCGAGAGTGAGAGTTTTACTAAAAGGTCCGGCGATGCACGTATATTCTCCCGAATTTTCTCTCTTGGCGAAGAGTTCACTTATTTCCGAGGATACTGCAACTTTCTTTGAAAATGTATTCGGTTTCACGACATAGCCACGTGTCATGAATCCAAATGCCTGCATACCATTTTTATGCCACGTGACCGGAAGTAAGTCTTTACCCTCAAACACACAAACAAGAGTGAAAGGTTTGGACGCCATGATGATGACTTTATCCACGTCAGGCCGAATCCGTAGTCGACCTATTTTCGAATTAAGGAATAATTAATTATTGACTATCCGAGGTGATGATAAACACGGACATCAACTAAACCTTGGGATATACAAACGAGTCTAAGTTAAGACAGTTTTATAAAAATGAAAACAATCTTTTGAGAATTACAAACTTTGTTGCTTCTCATAACAAATAATTTCAGCTTCACATAACGAATTAGCGGTTTCACAAATCGTTTCAGTACAAAGTTAGAGGCTTTACATAACAAAGGTTTAAGTATCACATAAAAAAAATGTTGTTTCACATGTCCTGTTGTTCTGGGAACTACGGACTTTGTTGTTTCTCATAACAAATATTTCAGCTTCACAAGACAGATAAGCGGTTTCAAAAAGCGTTTCGCATAAAAAAGATCAAGGCTTTACATAACAAAGTATCACATAACATAGTTTGTTGTTTCACATACCAAATTTAAATATTTCACATAACAAATGGTCAATGTTTCACATATCAGTATAGAAAAGTTTGATCCTTCACAAAAAAGTTCAAATAGAAATTTTTACTCTTTTGATTAAATTTGAAACGGATAATCTTTAACCATGTGACTAAGATTTCACTAACCTTTCGTGACCTTCACCTCTATCGTTTTGCTGAGAGGTCCTGCGTGACAGGAGTAGTTTCCAGTGTCCGTGAACTCGGCGCCATTCTTGTAATACGTCACAGTTATATAAGATGTCTCAAATGTCCATGTCCTCTGCTTTGTGACATGCGCTCCGAGCTCATTCTTTATTTCACTTCCGTTCACTTGCCACGTGACATCTCTTATGTGATATCCGGTGAACATGCACGTGAGGTTCAAAGGTCGAGATTCACGAATCCAAATATTGTCGGTTTCAGGGAAAATGTGTACTTCCTCTGTAATTAAATTTTAATCAAATGTTTTTATGTCAAAGAAAAATGATACAGTGTCTGACCAGTATCGTCCCTATCCCAGAGTACCCCTGAAGGTTTGGGACAACTTCGCGATCGTGTGAGGCGACAAATGTGGGACCCTGGTTAGTTGGAGCTAACCTTCTGTGTCCTCTGCTCAGAGATCATTGAAAATACATGCAACACGAATAATTACTGTATATATTGCAATAATTGAGATATCTCAGCTTTTCCTTCCACAATCAATTTTCTTCTGTGATTATCGTGTGGCCTGATATGACGTCAATGTGTTGATTGGTCTTAAGACTACCGTGTGGTCAGATATGACGTCATTGTGTTGATTGCCTTAAGACTACTGTGTCGTCAGATATGACGTCAATGTGTTGATTGCCTTAAGACTACCGTGTGGTCTGATATGACGTCATTGTGTTGATAGCTCTTAAGACTACCGTGTGGTCAGATATGACGTCAATGTGTTGATTGGTCTTAAGACTACCGTTTGGTCAGATATGACGTCATTGTGTTGATTGCCTTAAGACTACTGTGTCGTCAGATATGACGTCAATGTGTTGATTGGTCTTAAGACTACCGTGTCGTCAGATATGACGTCATTGTGTTGATTGCCTTAAGACTGCCGTGTGGTCAGATATGACGCCATTGCGTTGATTGCCTTAAGACTACTATGTCGTCAGATATGACGTCATTGTCTTGATTGCCTTAAGACTACTGTGTCGTCAGATATGGCGTCAATGTGTTGATTGGTCTCAAGACTACCGTTTGGTCAGATACGACGTCATTGTGTTGATTGGCTTAAGACTACCGTGTGGTTAGATATGACGTCAATGTGTTGATTGCCTTAAGACTGCCGTGTGGTCAGATATGACGTCAACGTGTTGATTGCCTTAAGACTATCGTGTGGTCAGATATGACGCCACTGTGTTGATTGCCTTAAGACTACTATGTCGTCAGATATGACGTCAATTTGTTGATTGGTCTTAAGACTACGGTGTGGTCAGATATGACGTCATTGTGTTGATTGCCTTAAGACTACCGTGAGGTCTGATATGACGTCATTGTGTTATTGCTCTTAAGACTACTGAGTGATCAGATATGACGTCATTGTGTTGATAGCTCTTAAGACTACCGTGTGGTCAGATATGACGTCATTGTGTTGATAGCTCTTAAGACTACTGTGTGATCAGATATGACGTCATTGTGTTGATTGGTCTTAAGACTTCTGTGTGGTCAGATATGACGCCAATGTGTTGATTGGTCTTAAGACTACCGTGTGGTCAGATATGACGTCAATGTGTTGATTGGTCTTAAGACTTCTGTGTGGTCAGATATGACGCCAATGTGTTGATTGGTCCTAAGACTACCGTGTGGTCAGATATGACGTCAATGTGTTGATTGCCTTAAGACTACCGTGTGGTCAGTTATGACGTCAATGTGTTGATTGGTCTTAAGACTACGGTGTGGTCAGATATGACGTCATTGTGTTGATTGCCTTAAGACTACTGTGTGGTCTGATATGACGTCATTGTGTTATTGCTCTTAAGACTACTGTGTGGTCAGATATGACGTCATTGTGTTGATTGCCTTAAGACTACCGCGTGATCAGATATGACGTCATTGTGTTGATAGCACTTAAGACTACCGTGTGGTCTGATATGACGTCATTGTGTTGATTGCCTTAAGACTACCGTGTGGTCAGATATGACGTCAATGTGTTGAATGGTCTTAAGACTAATGTGTGGTCAGATATGACGTCATTGTGTTGATTGGTCTTAAGACTACTGTGTGGTCTGATATGAAGTCATTGTGTTATTGCTCTTAAGACTACCGTGTGGTCAGATATGACGTCATTGTGTTGATAGGACTTAAGACTACCGTGTAGTCTGATATGACGTCATTGTGTTGATTGCCTTAAGACTACCGTGTGGTCAGATATGACGTCAATGTATTGATTGGTCTTAAGACTACTGTGTGGTCAGATATGACGTCATTGTGTTGATTGCCTTAAGACTTCTGAGTTGTCAGATATGACGTCATTGTGTTGATAGCTCTTAAGACTTCTGCGTGGTCAGATTTGACGTCATTGTGTTGATAGCTCTTAAGACTACCGTGCCGTCAGATATGACGTCATTGTGTTGATTGACTTAAGACTACCGTGTCGTCAGATATGACGTCATTGTGTTGATTGCCTTAAGACTTCTGCGTTGTCAGATATGACGTCATTGTGTTGATAGCTCTTAAGATTTCTGCGTGGTCAGATTTGACGTCATTGTGTTGATAGCTCTTAAGACTGCCGTGTCGTCAGATATGACGTCATTGTGTTGATTGACTTAAGACTACCGTGTCGTAAGATATGACGTCATTGTGTTGATTGCCTTAAGACTACCGTGTGGTCAGATATGACGTCATTGTGTTGATTGCCTTAAGCCTACCGTGTCGTCAGATATGACGTCATTGTGTTGATTGCCTTAAGACTACCGTGTGGTCAGATATGACGTCAATGTGTTGATTGGTCTTAAGACTACTGTGTGGTCAGATATGACGTCATTGTGTTGATTGCATTAAGACTACCGTGAGGTCTGATATGACGTCATTGTGTTGATAGCTCTTAAGACTACTGTGTGGTCAGATATGACGTCATTGTTGATTGCTCTTAAGACTACCGTGTGTTATGACACACATTTTATTATGACGCAGAAGATAACAGGTCTAATGTTGTTTAGTGATTTTTGAATTAGAATATTGGTTTTTTGAACATATAAAACATGAAAATTGTGTGCCGATTTTAAAATGGCATCCACAATTTCTTATGATTCGCAAATTGTGATATTTCGTTTGAAACTTGACATTTGGGAAAGTGTACCGCTACCTTGGGTATATTCAGCAAAACCTAAATATTTTCTCTTCGAAACACTAACGGTCTACGTAAAGTAACAGGTTTTCTCCGGGTACTCCGGTTTCCTTCCACATTAAGACCCCCGCGCGCTAACATGTAGGCCAACAACAGTTGAAATAACTCAAAATTGTTGTTAAAAAATGAAGTTGATATTTAAAGTAACATTGAAATGATGACAAAATTCTACATCCACTTCCTTGAACGCACCCTGATATTCTACAAGTCATTTGATTAAAATCGAACCCGCAGTTACATGAAGTATCACTCTCCGGCCATTTTCGCCTGTATTTGCGATATTTGATAGACAGGTTCGCATTATGCCTTGCACAACTGAGTCAATAATTAATCTTGTATAAAAAAAAAATTGGCTACGATTTTTCATAATTTCATATTTTACGGTCATTTGATGTTTGTTTGTTTGTTTGTGTTAGATTGTTGGTTGAAGACGGTCGCACAGTGAGACACTGCCGAAAAGTGAGAGAAAGAAGTAAGAAAGAAAATTCATATTTATACATAAATAATAGATAAATAATATGTATTCAAGGTTAAATAAACGTAAGTTCCATTAGTTACTCTACAGACAACATACTATTAATGAACCAATTAGTCATTAATCTTAAAAGATAGCACTTCTTTAATTCTAAATGACGTTAAAATCTTTCAATAAAGTTCAGGTGCGAAAAACAAGTATTTTACTATTTTGTTTTTACCTGTAGATTCCGCAGAGCAGAGGCACCCGACGAGGAGAATGAAGCCGATAATATAACAACAAATCCACGCCATTATTGTCAGATTAAGAACGAAACACATTCCGCGTCACATCTTGTATATATCCGATTCCATGTAATCAATATGGTCAAACTATTTAATTCCATGATAAAATTTCTTCTTATAAATCCAAAACGTATTTCCCAAATAACTTTGGGAAAAAACAATGCCCTCGGTAAATCGTTAATTACGCGCATGAGTAAAATGTTAGTACATAGGAATTGGGGAGTATGAGGCCAAACAAAGTTAATGTGCAGTTGTTAATGATAAAATATCTGCGTACGACAGGGGCGACAATCGATGATTTGTATGCGATGCGGTTGAAGACGACGACGAAATGTGTGCGATGTATTTAATTAGACATGGTGAATTATTCGCTTGAAATACATCCATTAAAAAATACACACAATAGTTTTGTAATACTTAACACCTTCAGTACTAAAATTTCACTGTTTTGAAAATGTTTGTTTTTTTAATACACATATTGACTAAAATGTTTTCATGTGTAAGAATTGGTTAAAGATCTTAAAAACTCATTTGTCTTTTTGAAAAATAAATTATTATATATTGTTGTATGAACTATATACTGTACGCTAATTACTGGACCCAGTTTCTAAACCGTTTCTTAATTAAGATAATTCCTTTACTTAAGATTTCGCATGTGATGCATGTAGCATTATTTTGGTTCAGAGGAAAGTCCTTGTATAAATAGAATTCCTTAGTTCCTATTACGTAGCATTACTTTGGTTCAGGGGAGAGTCCTTCTATAAATAGAATTACTTAGTTCCTATTATGTAGCATTACTTTGGTTCAGGGGAGAGTCCTTCTATAAATAGAATTCCTTAGTTCCTATTATGTAGCATTACTTTGGTTCAGGGGAGAGTCCTTGTGTAAATAGAATTCCTTAGTTCCTATTATGCTTTCTTACGAAGAACAGAACCAGAAACCTCCTTAAGTTATGAATCTTTGGTGAAACGTAAGTCTGGATATTGAGCTGCATTTTGGGGTCCATACAATTGGAAAAAAACACCATGTCATTTTTGTCTTATTAGGCGAATTTTCTCTTGCATATTTAACGTAGATTCCAAAAAAGAAATGGGGTTCTCGACTTGCCTTTTAAAACTTTTGTGAAATGTAAGTCTAAAAATTGAAATGTATTTTTAAAATTAATCAAACAAGTAGCTCCATGTGTCCTTATTATAGTGCTATACAAATGAAGAATTTCGTATAGGTAGCTCTAAATATTCAGTGCCGACTTCAATGGTTGGTTTTCTATGGAGGTGCTGACATGGGCGCTCGCCGTGAAACAACACTTGATCAAAAACGAAGATAACAAATCGTCGTCTTTGTTTTTCGTACAAGTGTTGACACAAAACAGTTGAATACCCTTGTCGAGTGTCTAAACAAAGATAAATTTGGCCTTTGAAACATCTAAAAACCAAATCAAGCACGTTTAAATTTTAAACTTGTCTTTAGGATATTAAAAGATAATTAAAGCGTGGGCAATTAATTGTCTATCTCACATTCAGCAAAACAATTTTAAATGGACAGATGAATAATGCTGTATGTGTGTTATTATAAATTTTGATATATTTGTTTGTGTGAAGCCAGTCATACACCGTAGGACGAAGTACTGAACAGATCCTGTAAGAACTTACATTTACGCGGGCGGTTATTTTACGCGCACTATCGGGTTCGTCATTTTCGCGTTAACCATTCGTGGATCGGCCACGAAACTTGATTGTACTGATAAGGTGAAGCGTGCTCAGAGTAAAATGGCGAAACGTCCAATCATTAAAACATCTTTGTTTTACAATTCTCATCCTCTATAGCCTCCAATACCTTCCTTTGTCTTTACTTCGCCTTCCCCAAGGTGCCACGCCCGTCATTCCCCTATGATGTCTATATCACGTGCATCCGTTAGTTATCCTTCCCTCCAGAAACACTCCCGCTCCAGTCATCCTTATCCGAAGTCTCTGCTCACTCCCAATCCGCCTACACTTTCGGTCCGGAGTCCGCTCCATTTTTTCTAGAATCTTCCCTCTCCTCTCTAAACACGCCCCCCCCCCCCCCCCCCTCTATCCCTAACCCTAACCCATCCCACCCAAACTCCCAACCACCATCCCCGGAGTATCAGCCAACTTCCGCTCTCCCGGAGTCTTAGATTTTTTTCTCTCCCAAGAATCCTCCCTCCACCAATATAAGTCTTCCTTTTCCCTTCCTTCACCACTGACATCCGGAGTACCAGGCTACTCCCGCTCCCCCAGCCCTCCCTTCAATCTCATATCGTCCCTGGAAGTCCCCTTACTTCCCAAAAGTGTCCCCTTTTCCTTTTCACTACCCACGGGGACTTGGTCATTCGTCTTCTCTACCCCCGGGTCCTTCGTTAATTCTCTATTCGATGTCTCATTCCGTTCCCTCTTCGTCTTCGTCCCTTATTTGTCCATCTCTCTCCCCACACTTTCTTTCTCCTCTGTCCAGCCTTGGATGACAGTCGTCCTGATGAGGGAAACGCCCCCATTTCCATCTTCTCCTGTACAAGTGCTCCTATAGAACCTGCGTGTCAAGTACAAAATATATCATGAACTTTTATATGTGTTATATTATAGAACTAGGTTATAGGTAAATGTAGGAGACATTCACACATTTTCCTAAAAATGATTTTAGATAGTCGAATATTACCTATTGTTTCGGTAATTATGTAATAATATGAATTCCAATTCTGTTGAGGTAAATATGTGGTTATCCGTCACATTAAGCCAGTAATTTTGACTTGTTTTGTTGAATGGCTATATGCCATCTTGGTTATCTCAGTAGATATGATCTGAACTAGAAATATAATACAGAGAAAATTGTTTCCCGTAGACAAAAATATTCGACTCATAAGGCAGTTACACTTTGGTTATGTTGGTGCACTCGTGAAATGGGTGGTAAAAAGGCCATACCCGTGAAATAATATTACAGCACGGACTTAGATACTCTAACCTAATTCTGGGATTCAACGAACAACTAGTTAATGTCCTCAATAAATAATCGTAGGAAATATTTCTGGTTTAAATCTTCTCTCGATGAAAATTAAAATTGCGATGTCGGAATTCTTATCTAATATATTTATCAATTAACTACCTTTAAACTAGATCTATATAAGTGCTGTTCACGGCCTAAGATATCTCTCGTGTGACATTTATGTAAATATTAATACAAGTCCATACAGACATTGAACTTGACATCGCGGTGTCAGATGACGCATTGTTTCGGTGACGACGATAACATCTAATTTTCCCCGAGGAAGATGATGTCAGCGAAATTTACGATGATAATTGGGCCAAGAAATATCATATCAGTGCGCTAAAGGATCTACGGGAAGTGATTCCTTTTAGGGTTGTGACAAGTTTAGGAATCTGTCATGCATAAACATACGAAACGCCCGGGGTCAAATATGATTGACATAACAGGAACTATCGCACAAATTAGGACCAATTTTAGAATTTAAAATGCACCATAATCATTATATTATCTATTGTTGAACTTAAGACCAATTTATGATTTAAAATGCGCAGTAATAATTACCTTACCTATAAGTCAAATTAGGACCAATTTCATAATTATAAATGCACAATACTAATTTTATGAATTATAGGTATCAATGTACAATGACATTTTTGCTGATAGAAAAGATTAATACTATATCAGAATTATTGTAATTATCAACGAAAACTGCCGAATATTTGTAACTGTAGAGTTTTATTATTCTTGAAGAATGCAATACATTGTGAACGGTTATTTAACTAACTTAAATGCCTGTAATAATTGGCTTAAATTCATTCGCTATTGTGGAAAAGAAGATTCTATTTTCAAAGGTTTAATTCAAATAATAACTTGGGACAATTTAATAATATCAAAGACATAGCACAAACAACTACAAGGATCATGTTTCCTCAAGCATGGTCAGCTTTACGGTGTGCAGAGTCAAAAATCACATTCAATTTTGAAACAAATGAAGAAGGAAAATAGTGTGTATTACAATTTATATTATCTGAGAGTGGCCATTCTCAATCTCAGAACATTTTTATCTTATTTTTTTTTAACATTTTTTAAAATTATCCTCGAATTAAATGTTACCTTTATGGGTTTTAAGTTGAGGAAGCTTTCAAACGACTGAGTCATCATCCGCACAAACGTTACAACAATTTAAACCGGAATTATCATATTAAAATTATTTTCGCTATTATGTTATTAAATTTTCGTCAATCGATACACCTATCGTTTGTGATAGTTTTGTTTTTATCGATAGTTTACCTCTTATGACGAATAACCAGAAGATATTCCGTAAAAAACTTAAAGTCTACCGTGAGAAGAAGTAACGATCGCATGAATTCGAGTCCTGCATTTAACAATTATTGCATTTTTAACAATATTTGATAAAAATATATATATATATTTACAAAACGTTTGTTTGCCACAAGACATGACACGTACAAAGGAATCATTGATGAGCCGTTATAATTTATTCGTTGTTCTGTTTAACCACGGTCTTAGATAACATTCTAAACTAATTCCGTGGTTTAATTGAATTCTTCAATTCCTTACTGCAGGAGGATTCGTACACAACTCTAATATGTAGTGACGGAGTTTGATCAAGAGACTATTATCTTCAAGCGGGAGAAGGGGAGGGGAGGAGGGAGTGTGGAGAAACAGGGAGGGTTGAAGTGTAATCGGGGGTTGGGGCGGGGCTTGTTTCCAGTTTGATCAGTGGTATGAGATAAGAAGGGGGATAAGATATTTTATCGTGTTGGCTTCTTAGCAACGAAAATGTGACAAATACTCGTATAACAAAAAGAGAAACACAAGTCGAGAAAACATTTTCTTTTAATCATTACGAAGTAATATACTTGAATTTTCACGAAACTTCGTAGATTTTGCTTTCAATTTTGTGTATTTCTTTCTCACGCGACGGATTATTTCGTCAGAGTAAATTACATTGTAGCATATATAGGAGAATTTCTCAAAGTAACTGTTTTAGTTTCCGAAAAAAATCAACTCTAAATATACTCCATTGTCTCGTTCTGTATTATTGTTTTCCGTGCCGAAAGATAATTAAAAACCATTAAAAGAAAAACAACTTTTTGTAAGTGTGATTTTACGATCATGTAAGTGTGATTTTACGATCATTTCACACGTTTTCGATAATACAGATTAGAAAGATCATCAAATTGAAAACAATATTTTCCTGTTAAACCATCAAAATGCCACCCTTTAAAAATCAACGGAGTCTTTTGTATCGCTTAGACACACATGACAATGCCATTCCTGTTTGAACGGGAGTTTAATTCCCCCAAGCGTAGCGATCTCCGAGATACGGTAACCGTTTATGTATGGCCCAGGGTGATTTCTCACCAACTATGTAATTAATATATGATTGTAGTGTACAGAGGTGTAGTATACCACGCTTTCTACCCGTATAGACTCGACAAATAGTACTCCGGTAATTATTGATATATCACTTATATATACAAGTGCTGTGCAGTGAGACTCATATCTGCCGATACAATTCAATCGAACGGACGGGAAACCGATATTATTATCGAAAACCTTAATATATTATTAGAAATAATAATATACTTCAATTGTTTCTAGTTCTGTGACACGTAGAAAAGTGTGGATATATCTATATTTAATTAAGCTATTGTCTGAAGGATTAATTTTGATCTGTGTACGAACGTGTGGAGACATATATTTGTGATTTTATTTCTACACAGTTGTGATCTTTGAACTTTCACCTCGGATATTGGAGATATTTCATTCACAAGTTGTGTTGAAAAGTGGATATTTTTCCTGACCTTGTTTATTACTGAAATCATGAAATTAACAACGGTGATATTGACATCACGGAAGTGACGTAAAAAGTGCTGCGGATTTACAAGCGTTTCACTGAATTTAACTGATTTATTGAGATCGATCTACGCTGTATGAAAATTGAAACATGATTCATTGATAAATTTTATTCATTGTCGATTGCTTAGAATATACAGTGAAAAGATACTTGCAAAGCCCTGCATACTCATAAAGGTAAGTGACACTTTCTAGTTCAGTTAGTGTTAATTCTAATGGCTGAATACCATATTAGATTGCTAGTCTATCATGTACTATCTTAATTCTGAAAAACGATATTTATTAAGACCGCAGTTTATATATATTTTTAAATCATGTAAGAACATTTGAAATGAAATGAAACTGGACCCAACCACCCCAAGACAATTACGTGGGCAGTATAACCGACATGGAATTGATTACATTTGATATTGTAACTTCTTTTAAGACCATATTTGACAACCTTTTTGTGTACATAGCTTGTGGTATTATAAGAGAAGGAATGCATCACTGTAGCTGCTAATATTATATGAATTATTCTCATTTCACAAAGAATATAATATTTAATGATATTATCTTATTTTGTACAGATGGTGCTTAGACCGGAAGACGTTCGGACCCTGACTTCCGGTTCTTTCGTCGTGTCCTGTATCGCGGCCACTATTGGATTTATTTTCACAACAGTCTTTCTGACTTTCAACGTTTATCACCGGAAAAAGAGGTGAGTTATTTTTACAGTTAAATTCAATTTTATATTCTATTACGTATTTTACCAACGTTTATCGTTCTTAGTGTTCACAGGATGCTCCACCCACTGATTGGCGGTTTTGGGGAATCACAAAACACGTTCGGTATGGGTTCGCTGCCTGAAAATGTAACAAGGTGGTGTTTCGTAAGACTATCTGTCAGATTTATATTCCCTATGTATCCTTAGCAATATATGTGTAATATTGAGTTAGAGCTATCACAATACATCGGGAAATAACTCACTACCGTTTAGTGTATTTATCGTCAACGAAACAACATGGACGCGACAGCCTTCTAGTGATCAAAGTCACATGGGTGATTGATTCAAATCTAGTCACTGCGTTGAAGACAAATGTAAAAAGTGATTTTACAAGCGGACCACTGTATTGTCTGCGTTCATAGCACCATGAACGATGTTTTCAATTAGTTATTGTAAATTTAGCATTGTAGTGTGAGCAAAGATTCTAGTTCACAAAACATCCACTAATTATCCTTCGCCATGTTTTATAGGTTTATGAAGATGTCCAGCCCGAAGATGAATGTCCTCATCAGTTCTGGCGGACTGATACTCAACTGCACGTGTTTGTTATACGGCATTGAGTACTTCTTCCGCCACTTGTACTCAAAGACCACGGTGATTTGTCAGGTACTACTTTCTTTTTCTCTCTTCAATAAAAACTATCTTTGCTGTGTATAAGTGGTTCCTATGTCACCGTGCGTAGTTGTATTCACTATCCTATTTTCATTGTAGTTGACTCCCTCGTCATCCATCCATCCATCCATCCATCCATCCATCCATCCATTCATTCATATTCATCCATTCATTCATATTCATTCATTCATTCATTCATTCATTCATTCATTCATTCATTCATTCATTCATTTATTTATTTATTTATAATTAATTAATTAATTCATAATCGTTAAATCATATTCATTTGTTCATCCATTCATATTCGTTCATTCATATTCATTCAGATAAAAGTTAATTCAGATAAAATTTAATTCAGATAAAAGTTAATTCAGATAAAAGTTAATTCAGATACAAATTCATTTCTAGATGAGGCTGTGGCTGGTGACTTTCGGTATTACGATGCTGTTCGGTCCTATGTTCGTCAAGTCCTGGAGAGTCTACCAGATCTTTAAGAACGCGGGAGTCAAGCGCGTGGTAAGTCACTCTCCTCCAATCATAATCATCTGTAGAAAGGCTGACATCAGGTAAAGATAACGAACAAGTATGACTTAACGTAGAAAATGGATATTTTCTCTAAGGATATTCCAAGGGTAGATATACATTTCAATCCTAATATGTACACGAGGAGCAACAACGAAGTGGATATCTTATATTTCTGTGTCCTTGTAAGTGTGTAGTTACTAGCTGTTGTACCAAACTATAGAACATTCAGTTCGTCGGAACGGGGTTGTGTTTTCTAGGGCTACAAAAGCCGCCCGGACACCATTCGGGTATTTCCGTCAAATGTGACTTTGACTTCATGCCATGATTGGTCCCCGATTACTATAACAGAAAGTATTAGATGATATGTAATACTGTGAATACTGGTTTTAAGCAAGTACTTGGTCTCGAGAGTCGAACTCGTGTCCACAAACATCTTGGGACGCCAACATAATCCAAAACGTTATGTATGTCTATTTTGCATATTTCAACAAAAAAATGCTGAAAATTCAGAGTGTTACTGAAATGGTGATTCATTTTCTAGTAATGTCGTCCTGCTTACTAATAGCGACATATTAATGTTCGTCCTCTTTTGTAGATAATACGAGATCGTAAGTTGATGTTGGCGATCGTGAGTCTGCTCATCATTGATGCCGTCCTGCTCTCCCTTTGGCAAGGAGTGGACCCGCCCATCTCACATCCGGTGACCATTGCAATACAGGTAAAACAACAACGTCATCACACTACTGTGACGTCATATTTGTACGACATAAATACACGAAATTGTTATCTGTGTATATTCGTTTTACATTTCGTACCATTTAGTCCAAAAGTAACCGTACTTAAATGAGTGGAAGGACATTTTGTGTTTGTAATATGACGTCATCACTGATATGACATCATAATCGTGCCGGTTGAGAGAATTTAAATGTACGTGTCGCTAGTAATTTGAAGATGAATTTCCACATGATTTGAATCACGCTTTGTTGCAATTGGTATAGTATATATATAATGGTGTATTAGGTAATTTCCGATAGTGACAACTCAAAATATGTCTGACGCCACTTTTTTCCTTCAATCTGGACTAATTATATCCGGAATTTATGTAAAAGGTAAAAAAAAAGCAACAAATGAAAGCGCAACAAATATCCGGGATGGAGTTACATCCCGTTCGACCGACCGTAAATGATATAATAAAATATATATCTCACTGACCTGTAAACACACACATATTACGTTGTGATAAGTTTATTTTAACTATAGATGATATTCTACATACATTATTACACATACATATATCGTTTGTCTATTTCAGTCTTCCACTGACATACGCCGGAACTTTTCGGCACATTACACCTACGTTTACGTACAGGAGTGTAATTCTGGCAAAACGGAAGTCTGGGTCTCTCTAATGCTTGTATGGAAGGCAATTGTAATGGCGGCAGGATTGTTCCTCGCCTGGAGAACGAAACACATCATGTTACCGGCCATGAGAGATTCCGCTTGCATCGTCATCAGTGTCCTTGCAACTATGTTCCTGACCTCACACACTTTGATGTTGACTTCTAGTTTACGTCACATACCAGATGCGGTCTACGTCATCAATATTGTGCTTACTACAATGGTGGCATCTTTGGTCCAAATTGCAGTGTTCCTACCAAAGGTTGGTTTCAGAAAGTATTTCACCTATAATTTTTCGGTCATTGTAATTTATCGACTAGTTTGTCCTTCCGAAGACACACTTTGATATCACAGAAATCAATGAGGATTTTGCTATGTAAAGGGAGATGACTCTTGTTTTCCATTTTCGCTTTCGTAATCGTCTTAATTTTATCAAATAGTTTAGGAACTTACAATTTCAAATCAATTAATTTTTACTGATTTTTATCGACAATTTGCATATTTTTCTACGACGTTCCTCGCATTAGGGATAGCATCCCATAATACATGGTCGAGTTTATCTCGATTTATATTGAATATTTTCGAGATTTTCGTGAATGACTCGTGTTTGATATGAAATTGTATATATTTGCAGGTCCGTTTTTATTGGAAGACTTCACTAGAACAACAAATGCGCATGTCACTCTCGACGCACGAGATTCATCCACATCTGGCGTTATCAACCGGAAATGACTTCGAGGAGGAACTAGTCCACCTGGTGGCAGCGAACGATACGCTGAAGAAATGTCTTACACAGGTCAGTGCGCATGCGCCGTTTTGGTAAAGATTTATAAAAAAACCACCAAAATCACCCATTTAATATGAAAGTAGTTGTGACGTAATAAAAGTAAATGTACAAAAAGTAACAAAAATAAACGAAAAGTGATATTATTTTCCTTTTATGACAAATATACGTTTTGATACGTTGATCCGGATCTTTATATATATTTCTTTGAGGAAATGATTAGAACCAACTTGTGAAGGTCATTCTAAGGTAATTTGAACTTTTTTATTGTCTGTTTTTTCAGAAAAATTCCATGATACACATATTAGAAAGTCATCTTCAGAACGCCAAGACCAAACTGAATCGAATGACATCGGAACGAGAGGTCAAGGTCGACAGTGGCCTGGATATATCGTCATCGAGTTTCCATGACGACGATATTCGGCAGTCACCTGACGGACAGACTGCCAAAACACCGACTACGGCTATAAAGATCAATAGACCAGTACAACTACAACAGTCGGAAATGGTACCTGTCACCCCGGACAAGTCTCATATTCCGTGTCCAAATAGAGCGAACTCAGATTTCACGAACTACCGTGTTTCCAGAAAGCGCCCATTAAAACGAGATCGGGATTCCAATACTTGGAATGGACAGAAATATTTACAAAGTTTCCCGACACAAGAATTGGACTGTCTACGTGAAGAAATTGACGCCGATCTCACGCATGCGCATATGCTAAGCACAAGTTTACGAGCTTCAATATCAAACGACATTCAGAAAACTACAACGAACAACATGTGGTTTTACGACTCATTAAAATCTCGCCAAGATGTCGTGGGGTCCGTGGCTAGGAGCTATGACCTCGAGGATAATTCCGATACCTACTCGTATGTGAGTAGTTATGTGCCGTGTAAAATACCAAGGAAGAAGTTAGACTATAACTCCATACCGAGCCCATCATTAAACTATTCTGGTGACAGTTTATCGACTACTCTTGCCAATGACAGGATGTATCCCGGTCAGGACGTCGATGAAGATAACACGTCACTGTCCTTTCCTCCTTCCGGTTCTAGCACAGCAACACATGGTAAACCCATTCCGTGTACACTACAGTTTAATAAATATCTAGTGTCGGAGGTTGATAATATTAACAAAAGTTACTATCTATAGTAAAAGGGATTTCCTCATACATCAATTGTGCTATTTATAACTATGGAACCGGATGTACAAATTTTACATTTTACGTAAATCTCATGAATCATCTTTTGAATTATTTCACTTGATATGTCGTGTCATCGATATTCGTTTATGAAATATGTTTTACGTGACGAACGTTATGTGCTAATTATATCCAGCTACCCCGGATGTAGAAGCATCGGTCCTCATCACAATGGTTATTCTCTGATACTTGGGTATCCTAGATGCGTATTTGTAAATTACAATATATCAAGTTGCGACAAATAGTACTATGAACGACTGATATACCGTACGTCGCACGTGCTATTTATAAAATCAAATACCCGGATGAAGACATTTTCATGAATACAACATTTTATGGTATGATTTTGACCACATGACCACTAAACTAACCAATTGCGGTTGTGCAGTTGGCCTTTAGATATTTGTTCAACAGAAAAAATGGACAAGATCATCAGAGTTACCTCGCACATGCACAACTCGAATGCCATGTTATGTGAAATTAATAGCTTAAAATTGGTTTAACAAATTCCCTTCAGGACGTTGATAGGGCAAGGACGGTTGTTTTTACCAACATGGATTTAAGAAAACTCGAGAATGGTGACTGAAAGGAAATCTATTATTTATGAAGCCAACTGTTTATTTTTTCTTTACTGTTGCAATTCACAGCTCTTAACTTTTAAGGAGATTTAGTTTAAAAAGATCTTTTTCCACTCTTTCTTCAAAATCAGCATTTGTTAAATGAACATAGACCGTTACTGAATCAGAGCTAACATGACGATAACAAACTTTTCAGCCAAAGCAATTTCTCTCAAAATAACTTAAGTATTTTCCTAATTTAACAGAAAATCTTGCTGGATGCCATATTCTACGTGTAGGTGCATTTTGTATCCATCTTTTTCTTATTATACAGAAAAGTTGTTTAAATGGAGCATATCTATTGTGTTGTCTGTTTGTTCTCCGGATTTCTGTTTTGTTTATTAACATGGATGTACCTAACCAACCGAACGTCACCTTAAACTATGTGAACTTATTAAATTATGATAATTATACCGTGATAAATAGTTGTCTTGTTTTATTTATCTATATATTCTATTTAGTTATGTATTGTAAAAGATTCGATGGAGGTAGCCTCAAATATATCAATTATTTAAACGATATATATATTCGTTCAAATAATTGCAATATTTAAGGCTACGAACCTTTCATAATTACTTCATCATCATCAATAGACGGGCAAAATAGAGAAAGACAGACAGATAGAGAGAGAGAGAGAGAGAGAGAGAGAGAGAGAG